AGACCGCGACCTTCATGCCCAAGCCGCTGTTCGGCGACAACGGCTCAGGGATGCACACCCACATCTCGTTCTGGAAGGGGGAGAACCCGATCTTCGCCGGCAGCGGCTACGCCGGCCTCTCGGACGAGGCGCTGTTCGCCATCGGCGGCATCCTCAAGCACGCCCCGGCGATCCTGGCGTTCTCCAACCCGACGACCAACAGCTACAAGCGGCTGGTCCCGGGCTACGAGGCGCCGGTCAACCTCGCCTACAGCCAGCGGAACCGCTCGGCCGCTTGCCGGATCCCGATGTACAGCCCGAGCCCCAAGGCGAAGCGCATTGAGTTCCGCTGCCCCGACCCCAGCGCGAATCCCTACCTGACCTTCTCGGCGATCACGATGGCCGCGATCGACGGCATCCAGAACAAGATCCACCCGGGCGAGCCGCTCGACAAGAACATCTACGACCTGGAGCCCGAAGAGCTTGCCCAAGTCCCCAAGGCCCCCGGCTCGCTCGCCGACGCGCTCGACGCCCTGGAGAAGGACCACGAGTTCCTCCTCCGCGGCGACGTCTTCACCGAGGACGTGATCAGCACCTGGATCAACTACAAACACAAGAACGAGGTCGAAGCGATCAACCTGCGGCCGCACCCGTATGAGTTCTGTTTGTACTACGACGTTTGAACGCTTTGCGGGGCGGACCGGGGGCTGCCGCCCACGGCTAGGACCCCCCTGCTAGCAAACCTTCGGTGCGCTCTCAGCCGTAAGCGGCAGCCCGCGGCGCGCCACGAAACACTCTCGCCTCCCCAACCCTCTCCAAGGGGGTTGGGGATTTTTCTTTCTATTTTTCGTGTCACATCGTGCGCGCCTTTTACGCCTAGCGTTGTAAGGGAAGCAGCGTCGGTGGTTGGCGCTGTCTTCTGCCTTGCCAACCCTCCGCCTTGCCAACCTCAGTCGTCCGGAGACCCTGCCATGCGCGCCTTGCTCGCCTTCGCCGCCGCCCTTGTGGTCGGAACCCTCGTCGCCCTCGCCACGAAGCCCGCCGAAGCTCAAGTTTCGACGTGGTCGATGGCGAGCGATAAGTACTCGGGCGAGGTCCCGTCGATGCCCTTCCAGACGCCGAGCTACGCGCCGACGCCCCCCAGCGCGATCCAGCACCACGCCTCCACGGCTTACGAAGGCGCCGCCCGCGGCTACGCGTCGCTCATCCGCGCCTACACCGAAGGCCAGATGTCGCTCGCCCAAGCGCGGATCTTGTTCGCCGAAGCCCACGCCCGCGAAATGCGGAACGAAGTCATCCGCACCCAGACGTTCCTCGCCCGCAAGAACGCCCTCAAGGAAGACTTCCGCCAAGACCAACTCCGCAAGTGGGAATGGCTCGACCAAGCCCGTGAGCGTCGCGAAGAGCGTGAGCAGACCGTGCTCCGCAGCGTCTACCACGTCCCCAGCACCCAGCTCAACCGCCTGACCGGAGAGATCACTTGGCCCGCGGCCCTCACCGCGCCGCAGTTCGAGTCGCAACGCAACGACGTGCAAGAGATCGTCTCCCGACTCGCCTCGCACGGCCCCGAGTACGCCCGCCAGAACAGCGACGAGGTGGCCAAAGCCGTCGAAGCGCTGCGGAGCGCGTTCCGCGATAACCGCGAACCCCTCGGCGTCGAAATGCGTGACTACTTCGAGTGCCAGAGTTTCCTCGTAGGCCTCAAGCTCGAAGCCCAAAGCTGGGGCATCGACGAGCAACTCGACATGGTCGCCAGCCGCTAAACGGCGCCCCTCAAGCCCATCAAGCAATCACCTCTCTCCGCAGCGGCCGCCGTTCCATTCGGGACGACGGCCGCTCTGTTTTTTGGATTGCCGCGGAGCCCTCGAGGTGCTGAGGAAAGCACTGGGAAGAATAGGGGAGCCACAAGAAGGCACAAAGAGCACAAGAGAAGGTCGGTAAGTAGGTAGACCGGCAGTCCGAAACGAGGAAGGTTACCCACCACCCCTGCCGTTCTATTGAACAACCCACCAACCGTCCTTCTTGTGTCTCTTGTGCCTTTTTGTGGCCCATCCTCTCGGCGCAACAGCTTGGTTCGCATTCTGTGGCGCTGTGGTTAGTTGTTGAACTCCGATCGTTAACCGATCGTTGTTCGCTGTTTTCGGTGAACCGTAGACCGCCGGGGCGGGTCCGGTCAGGCGTCAATCGCCTTCCGGACGCCCGAAGCATGGTCCCGCTCCCTTTGCCACTCGCTTCGCGAAGCGAGCCGCACAGCCCGGCGCCGCGTCACACGGAGATGTCTCCGGAGATCCGTCAATGGGCGGCGATTGAAGCAAAGAGCGATACCACCCGCGACGACCTGCTCCGCGAATCTTTAGCGACGCCAATCACGCCAACCGTGCGACGTACGATCGGCGTGACGATTCTTCTCAAAGCCGCGGTCTACTTGATCAGGTTGCTGTTCACCGATCGATGAGACCTGCGCAAATCAAGCTATTCAACCGCAGAGGCTAAGAGAAAGCTTCGTTGGAATGACCAATGGAGGAGCTGCCACTCCCCCCTCTTCCTGACCACTGACTACTGACCCCTTCACTGGTCATTTGGTTTTGGACATTGGTCATTCCGTCCTTACTCTGTGCTTAACTCCGTGTTCTCCGTGCCTCCGTGGTGAACTTATTCGACGAGGCACGCAGATTGCCTCCCCGCTGCGCGTTATCCTAGTGGTGACCCTCCACGCCGCAGGACGCCAACCGAGTGACCCAGCCCAGCGCTACCGCCGACGCCACTGACGGCACCGCCGCGACGCCGACCGCCAACGACCGCCTCGCCGCGATCGACATCGGCTCCAACAGCGTCCGCATCGTCGTCGCCAGGGCGGTCGATGGCGGCTACCAGGTGCTCGACGAAGAGCGTGAGAACACCCGGCTCGCCGCGTCGCTCGCCGCGACGGGGCATCTCTGTCCCGACACGATGGCGGCCACCATCGCCGCGCTGCGCAGCTTCGTGACGATGGCCCAAGGCTACAACGTCGCGAACATCCGCGCCATCGCCACCAGCGCGGTCCGCGACGCCGCCAACGGCCGGGAGTTTTGCCAGCGCATCCAAGAAGAGCTCGGCCTCAAGGTCGATATCATCCCGCCCCGCGAAGAGGGCCGGCTGTCGTTCCTCAGCGTCGCCCGCGCCTTCGACGTTTCGGACAAGGCGGTCGCCGTCGCCGACATCGGCGGCGGGAGCACCGAGATCGTGCTCGCCGCCGGCGGCGTTGTCGAAGAGGTCTACGCCACCCGACTCGGCGCGGTGCGCGTCGCCGAGGCTTGCGGCCTGACCGGCGTCTGCACCGCGAAGCAGATAGACGGGGCCGAGCGCCACATCGACGACGTGCTCCGCCGCCACGCCCGCAAGCCGCCGCTAGCGCCGGCGATGGTCTACGGCGCCGGCGGCACCTTTACGGCGCTGGCGTGGATGATGCTCGGCCGCGAAGGCGCCGGCGAGGACGCCACCGCCCGCGGCTACCGCGTCAACCGCGCCGACCTCAACCACCTGATCGCCGACCTGGCGCGGATGACGCTCGAAGAACGCTCGAAGGTCTCGGGCCTCAACCCCAAGCGCGCCGACATCATCGTCGCCGGGCTCATGGTCATCGACCGCATCCTCAAGCACTTCGGCGTCAACGAGGTGCAGGTCCACACCGGCGGCGTCCGTGACGGGCTCCTCTTGACGATGGTCGAGTCGTCGAAGACCAGCGGCCGCGCCCTCACCGCTACCGAACGCCAAGAAGCCGTCGAGCGCTTCGCCGAGCGCTGCGGCACCGACCTGCCGCACGCCCGCCAGGTCGCCTGGATGGCGTCGAAGCTGCTCGAAGAACTGGCGACGCAGCTCGAACCGTCGCTCGGCCTGCGGGTCTCGGACAAGCCGCTGATCGAGGCCGCGGCCGTGCTGTCGAACGTCGGCTACCTCGTCAACTACGACGGGCACCACAAACACAGCTACCACCTAATCATCAACAGCGACCTTCCCGGCTTCGAGCGCGACGACCTCCGCGTCGTAGCGAACGTCGCCCGCTATCACCGCGGCTCCCGCCCCAAGCAGAAGCACAAGCCGTTCGCGGCGCTGGGCGTCGAGGACCAAGAGCGCGTCGCCAAACTGGCGGCGATCCTCCGATTGGCGCTCGCCCTCGACCGCACGCACCAGCAGCAGGTGAACGACGTGGCGGTGAAGGTCACCAAGTCCACCGTCGAGATCGCCATCCGGGCCACGGGCGACGCCGAAGTCGACCTCTGGGCGGCGCGCCGCAAAGTCGATCTCTTCGAACGCGTCTTCGGCCGCAGCGTCGAGTTCGTGGTGACGCCGTAGGCTTCACGCCGGGAAGTTTCGCGCAGAGACGCGGAGAGGTTGATGGCGAGCCGGCCACGTTAGTGGTCGGTGGACTCACGCAAAGGCTCGAAGGCGCAAAGGTCCTACTGCTCGAATCGAATGATTGGCGCCGCGTCCCGTGATGTGACGGCTCTGAGGCAGAGGAATCGGCCTTCCAACAAGGAAGGGCAGATGATGGGTGACGCGCCGACTATGTCCTCGGGCGTCTGACGGTGAATGCCTGCCCAGACGTAGAGCACCTTATCGTTCAATGCATACGGGCGCGACTTTGATTGCGGACCCGCGAACCGATCCGCAGTGAGAGCGACATCGTTGGCATGCGCTAAAGCCGTCAGCGTATTGAGATCCTTGATAATCGACGGCTTCACTCTTGGCTGATACTTCATCTCGACGATGGCGACGACGCGTTGCGAATTGCAGATGACTAAATCCGGGAAGAGGCGGGTTGTTCCTCCATCGGGCGAGAGTCGCGGCTCGATAAAGATGCGGTGCGTCTTGGGACTGAACGCTTCAATGAGCTTTGCCCAATATGCCGCTTGAAGACTCCGCTCCGAGTTTACACGGCGTTGGGCATACTCATTCTCAACGAGTTCCGTCCAACATCCGATTAAGATTTTCCGTAAGCGAGGTCGCAGCAAGTCCAGTTCCTTTGCGTCTTCGCGTCTATGCGTGAGTCCTTCGACTTCCACCGACCACTAACGTGGCCGGCTAGCCAACAACCTCTCTGCGTCTCCGCGTCTCTGCGCGAAACCTTCAGCGAGACTCAAACGAAACGCCCGGCGTCGCATGGGAGCGGCGCCGGGCGGCGTTGATTCGATTGTCACTCTTCTGAGCCGCCTCGGCGATCAGTCGATCGCTTTGACGTTCTCAGCGCGGGGACCCTTCGGGCCTTGCCCTTCGGTGTACTCGACCTGCTGACCTTCACGCAGGCTGTCGTAACCACCTTCGAGCACTGCCGAGCAGTGGAAGAAAATGTCTCCCCCCTGGCCCTCGATGAAACCAAAACCCTTTTCCGTCAGCTTCTTTACCGTACCAGTCAACTCATCATCTCTCAGAGCACGCAAAAACAGTCGCTTGTGGCGGCCGCACCGTGCTGCTTGCGGCGGCCCAACTCAGGAAAAAACCTCGTCGTCTCTCGGGGGAGCCTTCTGCGGAACAGGCTGGGGGCTCCAGACGGGCGGCGGCGAAGCGGAACGCAGGGGTCAATTTCGGTGGGCCGCAATCGCGACCCAAACCGGCTGCAATCTAAGGCAGAGTGCCGCGGGGGTCAAACTTTCTTGGCCAAAAGTTTGCCCTGTTTTTAGAGGTGTTTTTGGGTCCTTTCTTCTACCCGGCTCGCCGCCCCCCTGAGCTAAACTGAAAGCATGGCAAGACTTGTGGCGCCACCGATCCTCCTGCTGCTAGCGGCGAGCCTCGCCCCGGCCCAGACTTGGCTCGGCCAGGTTGTGCCGATTGCGCCGGATGTCTACACGGAGGGGCTCGGGCAGATTGCGGATTGGGGATTGCGGAAGGCGGATTCCTCAACGGAACACGCCCCCCCATTTCAATCCGCAATCCCCAATCCGCAATCCCCAATCGACGCCAGCGCCCTCTTCTCCCAGGCCCAAGCCGCCGCCGAGGCCGGCGCCTCCTCCGAGGCCTTCGACCTCGCCGCCCGCACGCTGCACGCCGACCCCGACCACCCCGACGCCCGGCGGGTGCTCGGTTACGAGCTGGTCGAGGGGGTCTGGCGCACCCCGTACGAGGCGTTCAATGGCTTGAAAAACGCCTCTTGGCGGCCCCGGCATGGTTGGCTAACCGACGACGAAAACGCCCGCTACAAGGCCGGTGAACGCCTCTACGGGCGTCGCTGGGTGACCGCCGAGATCGACGCCGCCCGCCACACCGAGATCGAGGACGGCTGGACCGTCCGCACCGACCACTTCGCCGTCACGACCAACCACT